ATAAAATCCATTTCTTCTCTGGAATATTTGTCAAGTAGTTATAAGCTTCTCTTTTTCTCAAGGATTTCTCAACCTTGTTAATGTCCATGAGGAAAAAGTCCCAAACTTGTCCTTTTAAAAGTTGCAGATTTTCTTGGAGCTCTTCTTTCAATTGTGTAGGGAGATTTATATTTAAACCATCATAATAAAAATTGATGTTGGGTTTATATTCCAAAATTACAATTGACTCCTCTGCATTGTCAGCGACTTGTCAAATTGCCTCAGTGGTTTGATAACTTACTACACATATTTGCATCTCTGAAGCAGTTTGAGTAATTTTTTTGACATCCTGATCTATGAACTGATGGATTTTATTTAAAGATTTTTCAAATACATATCTAATAATTTGCCCCCCCCCTCTTCTTAACTCCCTCTTTAGTCAAAGAGTAGGTTTTTTATGTCACTTAAGAATTGCTGGCCAATCAGGAGTCATAAAAATTGGAAAGTTTTAGCCACCCACAGCAAAGCAGACCAAGCTATAAATTACTAAAAATAATAAACTAGAACCACAACTTTCTGCCCTTATATTTCTCCATCAATTTTTGGGGGGGTAATGTTAAGGACAGCCAAGAAGATCATAGGAAGCTCACTCCCTGGTATTCAGGATGCTGTTTATAAGCGCCATGTGCGTAGAGCTCAAAGCATTGTTAGAGACCCCACACATCCACTTTACGATCTGTTTCTGTTGCTCCCCTCTGGGAGCAGGTTTCAAAGAATTTCTAGCAGGACTACTGATTGTATAATAGCTTTGTTCCCTATGCCATCTGTCCGGTCAACTCGCAAGATTCGTTTTTCTCGCCATGCACATATATACATAACCCGAACTAGACTGTTGTTTCTCTGTGTCATATAATATATGTGGTTATATGCAATAATTCTGTATTTATTTATTTATTTTTGTCAAAATATTTATGTAGTATATATTGGAGGTGGTGAACCTTTGAGAGCTGAATGTAATAAAATTTCATTTTAATGTATGCCGATTAATGTACATTCAAAGTGACAATAAAGTTATTATTCTATTCTATTCTATTCTATTCTATTTTTTAAAAGAATAGTCCACACTTCCTTATTTTAGCTTGCCTTAACAGCCTTCTTCCTTGTTGTTTAATAATGAAGAGATTCTCAAAATGGTGCAGATCTTCAAAATGAAATAATAGGCTATGGCTAAAGAGACCCTCTTTTAGCTTAATAAAGATTAATAGTCATTAAAAATGATTAAGAAATGAAAGGCACAACTTACTGTATATTTGAAAAATAAATTCCAAAATGACTGCTTCTTCAACAAAGAACTGATTGCAGGCCCATCCCCCCAGCTGCTGGCATGCAGTTTACTTTGAAGCACAGCTCCTGAAGCTACTTGCAGACCCATTGCTATAGCGGAGGATCATGTGGGGTGATTCTAGGACTTTCGCTAACCCAGGAGAATCATATAAACTAAGGGAATGCCAGTTCCTTCTGCTGGTAAGTTGAAGAAGCTATATTTCGGGGGGGGGGAACCTTCAGGGATCCTTCCCTGGGTGTGTCGTCAGTTGGCCATCTTTTCACCAGAAACCCAGACAGTTAATTCTTAAGTAATGTACTATTTTATTTAAGTATTTGTTTTATTAATTAATGTCTCATCTTCCATATATGAAAAGCATCAGTCAATAAATGGAAATGCTTGAAAAATTCTGTGACTTAAATAAACTATATGGTACTATCAATAGGACCTTTATTGCTTCACTATCCTGATTATTTTTAGATCTTTTAAATTAAAAATAATTAAATCGAAAGCTAGCAGAGACAAACTGTCAACCTGGGAGATGCATTCTGCCTCCTTTTGGGAAAGAAGGGACTTGTGAACCCTTGAATTTATGTAAGCAATATCTGGTAGATGTCTATGGAGATTTTCAATCAATCTGGGGGACAACTCCTGGTGGACTATATAATCACATCCATGTTGTCTTCTTGCCAATAACATAGAAGTACTTTTCCAATGTGTCTTTTGAGATCTTTTTTATTTTTTAGTTAGGTTTTCAGTCTTGTCTACAATATTTATATTTCTTCATGGTCTCCCATCTAAATACTAACCAGTTTCAACTCTGCTTAGCTTTCTGAGATTGCTAATTGCTGTTACCCATTGAGGCTATCTAAAAGAACCTACCCATAAGATTCAGCTGCCTGTGACTGAAGAAATAATGGAAAGGTCATTCTGATTCACTGAAACAAGCTAAGGGTCTTCGACAATTCATATTAATTCCAGGAAGGATAAGAATAAAGGAAGGTAGCAATATCCCAGTTTCAATGCCCCTTTAGAAGTTCATCTCTTATACCAGCAATATCAAACAGATCTCTCCTCTGCCTTTCCCCTCCTATATGTAAGGATGGATGTGTGTATATGTGTGTGTGTGTTCGTGTGTATATCTTATTTTTAATGTATATTTTTAAATTGGTACTTTAATTACGTTTAACATGTACATAATTTTTCTTTGAGAACTGAGACTAAAACAAATTAATTTCTCTTCTCTGCCCCATCTCTAGCTCCATTTCTAAAGAATCTTAAGATTCACATCTCATATGATTCCACAATAGGAAACCCACAGGGGTCAGTTATATTATATTCCGTATCAATGTAAAATTTAAATATAAGAAATCAATAACATAACAAGCAACAAGAAGCAACATTTTTTAATGTTTCTCATGTGCTTTTCTAAAAAGCTATGTTTTCACAGTCCTGAAACATGTAATAAATAGAGAGCAGTCCAGGTGTCTAGGAATTAGGCTATTTCAGAGAATGAGGCCATCATTGTAAAGGCTTAAGCATAGTTTTTTCCCAGTAACTGGAATCACTTCAAATTTGAGACCCTCATTAAGGGTCCATTATATTCTCAAAAATATATTATTATCTATAAAATATTAGAACAATGCCAATAGTTTATTTTCAATTGTGTGTTTTTCGGTCCTCTTATCCCAGAGGTGTTTTTTCACAAGGCAACTGGACTTTTTCTTTTTTTCTGTCTTTGAAGTCGTTCTTCTCATCCAAGAAGTTTCTTCAGCTCTTACTAGATGGTGGGGGGATGGAAAGATTTATACTCCTTACAGACAGCTGGTTATTTACATTCTTCAAAGAGAAAAAAGAAAGTCCAGTTGCCTTGTGAAAAAGCACCTTTGGAAAAACCATGGTCTGGATGACTGAAAACCCCATAGACATTCTGTTCTCTTACTTTTCCATTCCAATCTGCCTATCATCTCAGAGGGATGCCATGAACAGCAGATGTTGACCCAAGGTCTTCCTAGCTGTGATCCACAACTTCTGCTCAGTACTAATTTTCAGTGTCAACTTCTACTTGCAAGTATGCATGCAATAATTGCAGACAACTTTGATTAGATTAGGAGATAAGAGGACAAATAACCCTTGTAGCATCTTCTCCTGAATAGTAAAAATAACGTATTGGTAAATCCCCATATTGTGAAGAAAAAAGCACCCCAACCATAGGCAACAGACAGAAGCAGCTCTATTGATCAGTTTCTGGGTGATTTCTTTTTATTATTTATTTAAGTTTTTATTGATTTTTTAATACAATTCAACAGTGCTTATTCAACAAATGCATTGTCTGAGTTCATCATTCACTAATACAAATTAAATTCCTAATCCCTAGTTCGTTTCTCCAACCATTGGTAAAATAAGTTCCAAGTTTGAAAATATTCTGTTTCTTCTTTTTCTTTCAATGTCAAAACTGAAAGACTGTCCATTTCTGCACAGTCTAATATTTTATTATTTATTTCTTCCTCCAATGGTGTTTCTTCATTTTTCCAATACTGTGCAAATATAAGTCTTGCTGCTGTTATCACATGCAGAATAAAATATATACTTTATTTATCAAGCTTTTCTGGCATTATACCTAATAAAAAAAGTTCAGATTTAAAATCTACACGTTTCCCCAGCATCTTTTCTAGCCAGTTCACTTTTGGTAAAAACAAATCTCCATACATTCAGTTCTTGGTGACTTCAGGAACGCAGCTACACACTATAATTTTCTCGGCAGCAATATCAGCATGATTTGCCTCTTTTCCCAATTTCTCAGTCTAACCTAAAATGGTATTTCCTGAGAGTTTCCCTTCCAAGGAAGGACTAATCACTTTTGCAGGGGTGCCTGAGGAAAGGGGTCGGGTCCCAAAAGTCAAAATGGCAGGGAAAACCATGCGAAGGAAGCCCCTCTTCTTTCTACATCCGTCCCAGCCCCTTTTTATGTGATTACGTGCCAACGAATCGTCTGTGACTTCCAGCGATCAAGTGGAGATATTTTTTTCCCACGACGATCTATCTTTTAAACGTGCCTCGGTTACAAAAAGACGGGGCTTCCATCGCATGGTTCTTGCCGCCATTTTGACTTTTCTGACTCCCCTCCCTGCAGGTTTGCCATCCCACGGCAAGTTCCCGGGTTCAAGCATCTTCCTTGGCCTCAAAATGCCTGAATTGACTTTGCCCTCCCCTCTAAAAGTGTATGTGCCAAGCCTCTAGCTGACCCTCTTCTGCTGTGACAAACCCTCTCTCCCCCGCAGCAGCCCAATAAATCAGTGTTTCTCATGTGTAAGGCATGTGGACTTCAACTCCCAGAATTCCACAGCCAGCATTGCTGGCTGTGGAATTCTGGGAGTTGAAGTCCACATGCCTTAAAATTGTCAAGGTTGAGAAACACTGCAATAAATGAAAAGCTGTTGCCTCCTGCTTCGCATCGAGTCGGGAAGGGGCGGTGACGAAAGAAAGGTGGGCAAAGGCAAACCAGCCTTTCGCTTTGCCTGGAACAGAGCGCTTTTCGTCTCGTTTGTCTCCAGTCTCTTCCCGTTTCCCGCTACCGCCGCCGATACCGTACCCATCTCTGGGCTCGGCGGATTGACACCGCTGAGACGGCTTTCCTGGCTTTCCTCCCCGACCGCGGCCCGCCCCCCTGCCGGCGCACCCTCGAAGCGTCTCCGGCATGGACCGCGCGCCGCGGCGACGGCGGGAGCCTAAACAGGTAAATGGGCGCGGGCCTTTCGTCAGGCAGCATCGGTGGCTCGGCCCGCCGTTGTGTCGAGGGGGAGGCCTGCTCGTGGCGGCGGCGGCGGCGGCGGCGGCCTTAGGACGAGAGTGTGAAAGTCAGACGCTGTCAGGCAAGGTGCTGCTTCTCTTCGGCTACAGCAAAGGCCGCTTTGGAGTTGGGGCGTCCCGGTTTCCTTCCTGCTGTTGCGAGGAAGAGCCGCGCTCGGTTTTACGCCGCTTGGGCACGGAAAAGCGCCGCGGAGATGGGGACGGGGACCTTTTTAAGCAGGGGTAGTCAACCTTGGCTCTTTTATGACTCGTAGACTTCAACTCCCAGAATTCCTGAGCCAGCTGTGCTGGCTCAGGAATTCTGGGAGTTGAAGTCCACGAGTCATAAAAGAGCCAAGGTTGACTACCCCTGTTTTTAAGGTTGGGCTGCTGAAAAATAAATCCCTCCGGAATATTCTTTATTTTGAAGGGTTGTCTTCTGAATTTTGCAAGATGTCTCAGCTCTCCTTGGGTGTATTGTTTGAAGGGAGGGATATTTCTATTGTAAACTGTACGAAAAAAAACTTTAAAGTAACCAAGGATTTGTGTTTAAAAAAGTAATAATGACATTTAAGTCAATCTCTGAGGTGGTAGTTAAAAGTTATTCAGTGTCAATTGGCTGCAGCATCTTTCCCATCCCTGGCTGTAAAAGAGGCTACTAACTAATAAAGTAACTAATAGTTTTCTGTAAGTTTAATCAGCATTGTCCCAAAACAACAGTAAGTTGGGGAGGTTTACATTATTTCAAGGATGTCTGGAGGAGATGCTGTAAGGTCACCTTTGTGGAAATGACCTTCATTAATGTGGTATCCTTGGCAGTATTAAGGGACTGGTTTGATGAGTTTCTATATTTGGAGGAGTGGGGGAAGCATCCTTGCTCTAATCCAAGGGTAGGCAAAAATAGATCCATAAATCATGTTTGAGTGATATCTCACTGCCTGTTGACCTCCACTACATGATTAAAGTCACAACAGTTACAAGGAAGTAAGACAACTGTCTTTGAAACAGCCACTATTCCCATCACTGTCAAGAGGCACAATACCCAAATGTTATGTTATTTTCAAGTGAAGTAATCTAAAAAAATAATTAAAAGGTGTAACTATTTCCATCAGGATAAAAAGTAATCCTGAAATAATTACCTTTTGATAATGCCCCCTCCACCATTCAATTTAGTAAATTTGTTGACAGTTGAGTTTAACCGTTACTGCCGCTCAAACCAAGAGTTTCTGCTTATGGTTGCAATGCTGAATCAAAGTATCTGGGAGAAAATGGAGTTGAATTCATCTTCAGCAGCAGATTAGTTTCAAACTATCAGCTTTTTGAGATAGGCCAGGTCAGGAAACTGAGATTGCAAAGATTACAGGAATGCTTCTTTGTTGCTCAGTCTAGGTTATAATAAAAGAATTTTGAAAGCTTGTTAGTTTCATTTTGACCTCTCTTATACCAAACAGAATCTAGGTGGAATTACAATATTTCTTCTTCATGTTTTGCCCTGGCCTCTTATATTGCCATACAGGAATTCAGAGCTGCTTCTCTTCAGTAACATTCAAAGGTATTTTAGTATGAACTGTTTCAGGTCATGAAACTACATTTCTATGAACTTGGATTTAGCCATCCAAAACACCGAATTTGTTCTTTGTCATCATGTACACTTGATTATATGCTCTTGTTACATCACCTACTTCCACTTCAGCTTCACTTAATAGATAAATGGCCTGAGAGTCTCCCGTAGAATTCTCTGATAAAAAGCAGAGCATTCTTTCTTCAGTGATAACAAGTCATCCAAGTAAAGAATTCCCACACCATGACATTACCACCTTCATTCTTTATAGTTAGTATGAAGTTCTTATTATGGAATTCAGTGTTGGTTTAAGGAGCCGTAGTGGCACAGTCGCCAAAGAATTGAGGCGTGCTGGAGAAGATTCCTGCAAGTTCCCTGCAAGGCAATCAAACCGGTCAGTCCTAGAGGAGATCAACCCTGACTGCTCTTTAGAAGGCTAGATCCTGAAGTTGAAACTCAAATACTTTGGCCACCTAATGAGAAGGAAGGACTCACTGGAGAAGAGCCTAATGCTGGGAAAGATTGAGGGCAATAGAAGAAAGGGACGACAGAGAATGAGGTGGCTGGATGGAGTCACTGAAGCAGTAGGTATGAGCTTAAATGGACTCCAGAAGATGGAAGAGGACAGGAAGGCCTGGAGGAACGTAGTCCATGGGGTCGCGATGGGTCGGACACGTCTTCGCAGCTAACAACAACAAGTGGCACAGTGATTAGAATGCACTATTGCAAGCTAACTGTGCCCGCTGCCAGGAGTTTGATCCTGACTGACAAAAGGTTATTTCTGCCATCTTTCTGAGGTTGGTAAAATGACTCAGATTGTTTGGGGCAATATGCTGACTCTATAAACCATTTAGAGAGAGCTGTAAAGCACTATGAAGCAGTATATAAGTCTATTGCTGTTGCTATTTAAGTCACTTTAGTTTTATTTCAGTCAAAAATATATATCTGACAGAATTAAACCTTGAGTCAAAATGTGGAGGGTCAATTCACATCCTTCAGTCATTTGGAAGTACAGGTAGTCCTCAACTTACAAACAATTCATTTATTGATGACTCAAAGTTAAAACAGCACTGAAAAACGTGACATATGACTGTTTTTCACACTTTCAACCTTTGCAGCATCCCCATCATCATTGATCAAAATTCATATGCTTGGTAACTGACTCGTATGTATGATGGTTGCAGTATCCTGGGGTTATGTGATCACCTTTTGCGACCTTCTGACAAGCAAAATCAATGAGGAAGCCAGATTCACTTAATGTGTTACTAATTTAACAGCAGCAGTGATTCACTTAACAACTATGGCAAGAAAGGTAAAAAATGAGGCAAAACTCATTTAACTACTATCTCACTTAGCAACAGAAATTTTGTGCTCAGTTGTGGTCATAAGTTGAGGATCATCTGTATACATCCTTGAGATATGAGGAAACAAATCTTTCAAATTAAAGCAAATGCAGAATGTTCTTGAGAGAAGACTTTGTTAGACTGGAGGTATATGCTAATTCTATTTTTTTTTTTACTGAAAACTCTTGTCAGGCTTGTCAATAAATACCAACAGGTGACTTGGACATTGTTTATGATAATTGCCTTCCATATAAATAGATTCTGAATAAATCTGTATTCAGTCATTGATCCTTAGTGGATGGCTCAGAGTGAGTCAAAGACATCATTTTGGTCACCAACTCTGAAGATTTGCATAGCTTTGACAAACTTAGCACCTAATGTGGCAAGGTGATCTAAATGTTTATTGATGTGTGGAATCTGAATCCATCTTTAGGGTAAACGAGACAGCCACAACCCCTTGGATCATCATTTCAGAGGTATTTCCTTACCAGATTCCTCAAAGCCTTCCAACAATGACAGAGTGTACTTGAACAGTTTTAAAAATTCAGGGAGATATTCAGAGATGTATCAACCTTGAAAGTATTCTACGTTGAACTGTATAGCATAGTCAAAGACCAGCAGGAAAATGTTATATTTTGTATAATGTAATAAAATGCTTCATGATAATTTTTACGTATAAATTATTTCATAGAATTTGCCAAATTTCAATTCAATGGGATTTATGAGTTCTGAATTTTGTACACATTCTGTACGTTAGCCTGTTTGAGATGCAGGTACCTTGGTTTAAAAGATTTTGGCCTATGATGCACCATTTCTCCCAATTAAAGGTTATAGACATGAACATTTTAATAATATATAGATTCAGTTTAAGGCAGTTATTAATATTAAATTATCTAATTTTGAAAGTGATTGTGTTACTATACTTTTTTTCCAACTCTGACTGCTATATTAAAATTTGAACCAACTACAGAGAACAATACTCTAGGAAAGCAGAAGATCATTTTGGATTTTGTTGACTTTTGGTGTCTCACTTACAATATAGAATCATTCTAATTTGTGAAATTCCAGGTGATGGTTATGTTTTCTAATTACTGTGATTCAAGTTTTGAAGATTACTATCTGGTTTTCCAAGCTGTCTTTCAGCTGTCTATCTCCAGACCATTTATATTTTTCTTAAAGTTGACACTGACTGATTTTTGTATTCCAAGCATCCTTTTTCCAGCTTACTGCAGGAGTCCCTCTCCTCTCCATGCGCTGAAGAAAAATCTAGTGCTGGGCTGGAGAAAAGCAGCTTGGGTCTTCATGTTCCAAGCTTCCTTTCTCCTCTTCCCATAGGAGTCCCCCCCCTCAAATGAACCGAAGGGAGGGGGGATCCTTTGGCAAGCAGTAACAACTTGCAAATTTTCCTGCTGGTTTTTACATTGACTTTCTGGGGAAGCCAGCAGAAAAAAATGCAAATGGTAATTACATGATTGTGGGGCACTTGGCAACCAGTCATAAATGCAAACAGATTGCCAAGTGCCTGAAATGGGATTACATGACTGCAGGGGGTAGAGCAGCAATCGTAACTTCAAGGACAGGTCATAAGTAGCTTTTTAAAAGTCTGCTGTAACTTTAAACGGTCCTTAAATGACAAGTTGTAAATAGACTACCTGTACAACAATGGTTTGCTGAGAAATGGGAGACCGTATGATAGGATGGGAGTTCTGCATTTTCTATTCTATCACATGCAGAAAATGTTCTGCATTTTCTATTCTATCACATCCAGTTAAGGGAGTATTAGGCAGGATACCTAATTTATGTATTAATGATTTCCAATCAATCTTTTATTATAGCTATAGACCAGAATAAAAATTAAAACATTAAAATAAAACAAAATAGAACAAGACAAAACTTAATATTATGTTACAATTAATGGTGGGATCATTGATGGGTGGCCAAAATTTGCCTAATTTTACAGACAGTATAGCAGAATTTAGCTAAGTTCAAAGACACAGTATCATACTGAACTGATAGTAATAGCGCTACATAAAAGAGATTAATATTTCCCAAATATTTTGTCAGGGAAGGAGTTATAAAATGAATCCATGAGTCTTTATAGGGGGCATAATATAACAGGACATGAGCTGTGACTTCAATGGTCCCCTGTCCATAAGGACACAATAGCACAGTGGTTCTCAACCTGTGGGTCGGGACCCCATTTGGGGTCGATCGACCATTTCACGGGGGTCGCCAAGCAAGGCTGTCCGCCATTTTTTTTTGTCCGCCATTTTTTTTGTCCGCCATTTTTTCCCCTTTTCCGGCGGGTGCCTTACCTCCCTTGGGCTGGGCCAGCTGGTGGTCAGCCTGCTCCGTCTCTGCCGCTTGCCAGCTACGCCTCGGCCAGCGCAGGGGGCGGAACCACGCATGTGCGGCGCTCCCGGGCAGGGAAAGTCCTCGACTTACGACTGGTTGGGTAGTCCTTGACTTATGACCTGTTTAGTCCTCGACTTACGACTGGTTTAGTCCTCAACTTACGACTGGGTTAGTCCTTGACTTACGACCGGTTGGGGTCGCGGCATTAAAAAGATTGAGAACCACTGCAATAGCAGCTTCTGTGGGACTTTATTACATTGGCCTTCCAGAACTGCTGTGGGGAGAGTGTTAAAACGTGCTAGAGTTGATGCCCTCTGAAATTTAGAAACAGCTACATAAGTATTTCACTGGTTTGTAAAGGGAGGCATGATTGCTCAAGAAAATGTTCTTGGCTAAAGCATACAGATCCTGTTGGGCTTCCTGATCTTTAATAAGTTTTTCAAATGCACTCCAAATATCCATGGAAGAGGTTATTAATTAACTAAAAAAGGAATAAAAAGGACAAAGGTATCATTTCCTTTCAAAAAATTAAAATTATATTTCCATAAATATATGCTAATTATAGATATTTCTCTTCATTATTACAGTACTTTTGCAGTGTAGAAATTGACATGATCGACAAACCAGTTAAATGAGTTTAAAATAATAGGATGAACTTTCATGTTATACTAGTATAGGGGAGACTACAGAAATTACAGCATTTTGGCTAAGCTGCATTTTGGTTTGGATAACAAATTGGAAGCCTAGCAATCATCCTATATGAAAAGCCCTGTTGACACGAAGTATTTTCCACATTTAAACAATTTGGTTTAAAATCTATGTTCTTTAAAAACATATATAATATTATACTGTTTTCAAATTCTTTCATAAGAATTTATTATAATTTAATTTATTATAAATTAAAAAGTAATCATAATTAAATTTTAGAGTAATTCCTTCAGTACAGCTTATACCAAAACATAAAAAACGTCCTTATAATTTGGGATCTAATTGTAAAACAATGTGTTTTGGATTATGATATTAAGAACTGAATGTGAAGCATTTTCAGTACTTGCTGAAACTAATCAGCCTTGGGCTTGGTCAGAGACTTGACAGGGAACTTGGGAAACTTACATTTCCTACTAGACCTGAAGGGCAAGAAATAAAGCAGTTTGAAGTATTCGGATGATACTGCAAAGACAAGACATACTTAATTCCAGCCATTTGTTTAAGCTTGTTGAAAGGGTATGGAAGAAGGATAAAAGTAGAACTTTATTAAGAATAAACTAGCTTGAGAATACAAATATTGAGAATGGAAAAAGAGTGAAAAGGGGAAAGAAAAATTCTTACAATGAACACATATAATAAAATTTTGGAAGTAAAAAAATAAAAAACTTTACAAATTGAAAATATATACAATGCTAATAATATATTGAATTTTATTTTATAGCAACCTTGATTGTCCATTATCTCCCTGGATAAATCTAATGTATGGGACATGAACATTCAACCTTTTCCAGATTGGGTGACTTGTATAATAGAAAAGGTAAGACCTCCAATTTAATTATGAATTAAACTATTGGGTCCATTATTGCATAGTATTTCCATACAGACTGAAATGACTAATTTCCGCTGTGCTGCTGTTGTTATTATTACTACTACTACTATTACTATTATTGATTAGCCAGATGTTCAGACTGGGTTTGGCATTTTTGTCTACCTATTGAGTCCTTACCAAGGATCTGAGATAGACAGATGTGGATGTTTGATGGTGTTACAGATATTGCGGGATGGAAGCTGTTCTCAGTAAGGCTACCTTTTGCAATTGACTGATGGCGAATTTGTCAATGCCAACGGTGTTCAAGTGGTGCTCCAGTTGTTTTGGGATTGCACCCAAGGTGTCTAATACCCTTGCTTGCCTTTGCCACAGTCGTTCTATTTCTATTTGTAGGTCTTTGTATTTTGTTATCTTCTCCAGTCTTTCTCGTCTATTCTGCTCTCTCCAGGCACTGCCCCGTCCATTATCCAAACTTTTTGTCTTTCTTATCAACAATTGTTAAGTCTGGGGTGTTATGTGGCAGGTGCCTGTCTGTTTGAATTCTAAAGTCCCAGAACAATTTAACTTTTTGATTTTCTATGACTTTCTCTATTTTATGGTCCCACCAGTTCTTGCTTACAGGCAAATGATATTTCTTGCAGATCTTCCAATGTACCATTGTTGCTACTTTGTCATACTGTTGCTTGTAGTCAGTCTGTGCAATATTCTTGCAGCAGGATACCAGGTGGTCCACTGTTTCTTCAGCTTCTTTGCAGAGGCGGCACTTACTGTCTGTTGCTACCTACAAATTCTGGCTTTGTATGCATTTGTCCTTAAGGCTTGATCTTGTGCAGCCAGAATTAGTCCCTCAGTCTCTTTCTTCAACTTTCCTGCTCTTAGCCATTGCCAGGTCTTGTTATTATCTGCTTTCCCAGCTATTTTTTAATGTACTGGCCATGTAGTGCTTTATCTTCCCATGCCTCCATTCTGTTCTTTATTTGGTCTTTCTTGCAGGCCAGTTTGGCCTCTCCAATAGTCAGTAAGCCTACCTGATATACTAACTTCGGTGCATCTTCATCATTGTCCTTCAGATATTCTTCCAAAGCCATTTTTTCTTCTTCAGCCATCTGATGTACTTGCAACATTCTACACTCACCTATTTGCCTTGGTAGATAGAGTCTGTCAGTGTCACTACGTGGATGAAGGGCATGATTCATTGTCATTATTTTTCTGTCTTCATATCCATTGCTTTTAGTTCTGCTTGAGTCCGCTCCACTCTTCCAGCTATATATCTAATGATTGGAATTGCCCAGGTGTTGATTGCCTTGATGGTATTTCTTCCATTGAGTTTGGACTCTTTCCAAGAGTTCACTCTCTTGATGTATTCACCTCTAATCTTTTTCTTGACTTCATTGTGCTTGATATTGTCAGCTTAAAGTATACACAGGTATTTGTAGTAGTAATCATCCTCATCCAGACTCTTAATGTTATTTTCATGGGGCATCTTGATTCCTTCAGTTTTCACTATTTTTCCTTGTTTGATAGTGAGTGTGGCCCATTTGTCCAAGCCAAATTCCATTGCAATGTCTTGGCTATTCATATGGACTGAGTCCTGTAGCCCATTTTTCATTGGATATTCAGGAACTCCAACATCTAGCATGGGTCTTGTTAACCTGAGCGACATCTGAGCCGGTATGGCTTTCTGAATTTTACGTCTCACCATATTTTTTATGGGAGAGACACTCTTTGTCTGACTCCTCTGATGAGACCTGTCCAGCATGGTTGAACCTCTGGCATTTCTCTCATCTTCCTCAGAGTACACAAGCCCCACAACCATGTCAAGGTTGTGCCTCACTATGGAACTATTATTATCATCATCATCATCATCATCATCTATCAAATTGGTGTCAGCTCTTAGTGACCACACTAATAGTTTTTCTCTAGATAATCTGTCCCCAGGTTCCTGCTTCAGGTCTTCCAATGATTTATTCATTGCCACTTTAATTGAGTCTATTCACCTTGTTGCTGGTCTTCTTTTATATTCAAATATCTGTCCATTCACATCCTTTAGCATACCAATGTAAAGTTGAATTCTTCTGAATTCAAAGATAGTTTCCTTTTTTCCATGCCTGTTTCTAGTATCAGGTTCATTACAGAGGTTATAAAACTGCTTCATGTCTAATTAAATAATAATTTTATTAAGTTGGAAGATCTGTAATAAATACCATTTGCCTGCAAGCAAGAACTATTGGGGCCAGAAAATAAAGCAATAGAAAAATGAAGAAGCTGAAATATCCAATCAGACAAGCTCCTCCCACATAACGCATCAAATTTAATCATTGTCGATAAGAAAGACAAAGAAGTCTGGATAGTAGGTGTTCTGAAGATAGCAGAATAGAAAAGAAAGAACTGGAGAAAAATCACAAAATACAAAAATCTGCAAATAGAAATAGAACTACTGTGGCAAAACAAAGCAAAGGTAATACCAATAGTAATAGGTGCTTTGGGTATAATCCCAAAACATCTGGAGCATCACCTGAACACCATCAGCATTGACAAAATCACCTTTATTCAATTTTTCCAAGCTTTACTTGAAACAACATATTCAGTGATAATATCTTTAACACCATCAAACAACATTTACCTCAGGTCCTTGGGAAAAAAGATTTGATAGGTGGGTAACAATGCCAAATCTAGTCTAAATATGTGATTGAATGTGTGACCAATCATAATAATAATAATAAATGAAGCCAGTAACAACACATTGTTAATAAAAGAAAAAAACACTGCTTTTGCTAATGGCTGATCATCCAACCCTCAGTAACACTTTCTTGCTTTCTAGCCACCTCTCCTTCAAGGCTAGGGACTGGCATGGAGCTCTCCAGAGATCCCAACAGAGTGACATCAATAAATCTTCTATCATTTTTCAACTCATCAATGGACCCCCCAGATATTTATTGGTCCACTTTTGACTCCCATTCATTTATTCACTCCTTGGTTAGTCCCATGATGTATGTTGAGATGATCATTATACTTTGGGTGACCTTGGTGGGGTTAAATCCTTTTAGCATATATTCACAGTGTCCTTTTGTTATCCATCCAAACAATGCTTCAGTACAACAACAATAAGACAACTTGGTGAGACTTAAGGTGCTTTTGCTTTTTAACAGTAACCAATTTGTATTTAGTTAGTGTGTAGAGTTACAGAAATTGGAAAAGTTAGGGTTGGATGTGGTCATCTTTTTTTGTGGTATACAGAACTCCTATTAAAATATGATGATATGGTTTGCTGTCATTTTGAAGAGAAATTCAGAAAAACATGAAACTTAATCCATAATTAAATAGCTTAAAACCCCTGGTCTATACCTTAAAACTTTGCCTTTAAATCCAGAAAAACAAAATTTAAGATTCAGATCCTTCAAATTTTAATATGATTTTGGCCACTGTGATACCTGGACCCCTTCCAAATGTTAAATATGACCTACAGCCAGCCATATATTATACACCTTTATCTTAAAATCTGGTTTTTATGCTTCAGTTAAGTCTAAACTTGCACATCTTGTATTCATTATATTGTCCCATCTAGTCTTATGAACATTAGTTTTTCTGGTAACTCTAGTTAAGAAGTAGCTCTATTTTATTTTTAAAAAGACTTTTAAATGATTGATTCAAAGCCAAATTTATGCTCTCTCCTTAAGATAATATATTTTCTACAGATCATGGAATTGTATTTGATCATAATCCATTGCCACATGTTCTCATTCTCATCATGTACAAACTTCCATGTGTGTCTGTTAATGTCACAAGAACTCCAAAGTGAGTGGAAATTCAAATGTATAATTCACAAGGAACAGACTATACTTTATATTTTAGAAGGCATAGGAAAAAACTACTTCAAAATGGGAAAACCTACTATGCAGATGATTCACACTGTAGTCTTTATCTTGCTACTTAGGTATTTCTTTAGCAATACTTATAAGCCGCATGATCCTGATGAACTCTGGGTAGAATGCAAGAAAATCAAATGCAAAAATCAGAACAAAAATAAAAGCTCAATTTAGTTAGTTAATATAATTTAAAGCCATTAATTAAAAAAAATAGGCATTCTTAACATTAAACTAATTTATTTCAAGGGTTTACCACAGGCTGAAAGAACTCTAGCTTGTTTGTAAAATGTTAACAGGACTGTGGTCATCTGTACCTTTACAGAAGTGTTTCTCAGCCTTAGCAACTTTAAGATGTGTGGACTTCCAACTTCTTAACGTTGCCAAAGCTGAGAAACACTGGTCTACATAAATTGTGGACTACCACTGCGGAGGCCTGTTGTCTTGTCCATGATCTATCTAGCTGAAAAGGAGAGGGATTTGCAATAGGCCCAATCTTGATATATTATTAAGATTATATATTAAATTAGTTATTTTGCATTGAAACTATTATACTGCTTCTTATTGTTGTACTGGGTATTTTGACTTGATTAAGCATTTTTCTTAATGTCTCTTTACAATGCCCACTTATTACCAACAGTAAATGGTTCTGTTCCTATAGTACGTCAGGGAAAAAAACAGTAAAAGCATTGATAAGCTATTCAGTTTTGATGTAGAACTAGACTCCCAACTTCGGGAAACTTATTTATTAATTGCACATAGTATTATAATTTCTAAGATGTTTTTAATTCTGCTTAATGTTCAAAAATACTCAGTATAAATATATAATGAGTGTATTTAGTAATATCGGAGAATATTTTTAAATGTTTACGATATATCATTAACATGTGAACATTTCCTAGATGTATTTATCTCAAGGAACTTTTTCAAAAGTATTATATTTTGTCTTTTGTTATTTGATTATTTGCTCTTTTTCAGTTATAATATGATAAGTATATAGTCTTTCCTATTTTGTGGAAGAAAATTGACTTCATGACCATTTCTTATCTCATGAATTATGAAGAATTAATGGCTTATTTTCTCCCATAGGCAAATGGACAACTGGAAAATTGAACTTCCCATTCTGTGAGGCTTGTCTTGAAGAATATAACTTTATCAGTAATACAGCATGTTTATGTGGACAGTTTACAGATATTCATCTTTGTAAAAGACAAACTGAGTGCCAGATAGCTAGTAGATTACCAAAATCACAACTAAAGCACTTGTCACTTTGTAAATGCCATTTTGATTCTAGTAAAGAAATACACAAGAGTGCTACAAGTGGAATTCTGAGAGCTGAAAATCAAAGAGTTCCATATCTGGCTAAAAGTAATGACAGTACTGGAAGATTAATGGAGGCACTTTGCCTAGAGTTGAGATCAGCTAACTTTGAGATGAATAATAAAAAACTATGCTTCAAAGTGTCTAATCTAAAAGCAAGTATTTCAGCTTCACTGGCTCAGAATGACGGATACACTGTAAAAGCTTTTCATAGAATACCACAGAGTTTGAGAAAGGGGCTTGTCTTGCTACCCACTTTATATGGAATATCCACAATTGAGAGACCTGTTTTCTCTAGGCAACATGAAACACAGCATTTTAATTCAAAAGATTGTTTACCACTGAAATCCAACAAAGTACATAATTATTTTCAGTTCCAACTTGAATCAGATACTATCAAGCTTTCAAAGAATTTTTCAGTTACTCCTTACAGAATATTAGCACAAGAAGAAACTGGGTTTAATCCTGTTTGGAAAGCTTCAAAAAGTTATCTTGAGAGTGCTGTTACTGATCAACAGCTGTTTTTACCTTCATCAAAGACTATTGCAAAAGAAAATACTCTCCAGCTGCATATCATACCTTTTTATCTTCTTCAGCCCTTCACAACTATTGATCAAGAGTTGTACAAGAAAAAAAGAAACCAGTTGAACAATTTGGAGAAAAAACATAGGTGGCAAGACCAGGTATGTATAATAATAATAATTTATAGATTATATTAGATGAAGAATATTTCTATGAGTACTAAGTGGAGCTTTGGTGTATTGTGAAATTATTTCTGAAAGTTTCCTTGGAACTTCTAAACATAAAAATAACCTATCATACTTAGCAATTATTTATCTCAATTTTATTTTCAATATTTCAATATTCCAGCATTTTGTTTTGTAGAACTATTCTATAATCCTCATGAAATATACATTCAATATCGTATTTATATTTGAATATCTATTCTGAAATGTAAATGCTTTCTTTCAGACAGTTTTCTTAGTATTTTTTTAGACATTTTGAAATTGTGACTAAAATATAAAAGTGGGTTAAAATATACAACAGCAACTGTAAATATGAGAAGACAATGGCAACAATGAGTAAAATGGATGAATAGTATCAAAGAGATTACAGGACTGTCCTTGGAGCACAGCAAGCATTTGTCCATACAGACATTAGGAATTAAACTCGATACAGTGGCAACAAAAGAAGAAATAAAAATAAATAAATTCCAGTGTAGGAAAATATTAACATGTTCACTACAAATTAAATTAAAATGTCAGGGAGAAGAAAATAGATGTTGAAAAGACAATATTAGAAAACAGTACAGCTATCTAAAGTGATATATTAGTGATAATAGAACAGTTATTAACTTTCTAATTTTTAGATGAATGCTCGCCTGATCAGCTATTTGTATTGGACTCTTACAAACACAAGGGGTGGCAAGTGACAAAATATGCATAAAAACATTGTGATACAAATTAATGTCCAACATCAGAGTGCAAGTATGAAAGAAACTGTTACATGACTCTTGATTGCGAGCTGCCCAGAGTTTGTTTTAAGATGGGCGGCTATATAAATGGTTTAAACAGCGGGGACAGTGAGTTAATTGATACAGAACAACCCTGTCCCCGGCAATCTAAAAATTATAGGGCTACCAGTGCATGTAGCATAGATGTGTGTGTGGACAAGAATACCAACCTTGCTGTCAAGCAAAATGAAGCCTCTAATAGCGAGTGCCACACAAAGTGCACTAACCAAATAGGTGGTAAGACAATAGAGGA